GGGGAGGCTCCTGTGCATTGTAGGGTATTTAGCAGCATCTCTGGCTTCCGACCACTAGATGCCAGGAGTACATCCCGATCCCCACTCAGTTGTGCTGCCTCCAGATACCTCCAAATGTCCCCCGGTGGGCAAAATTGCCTCCAGTTGAGAACCACTCGTTGAAAACAAGCAAAATCTACATTTTCTCCTGTGAGGAAACCTCCTTATGGTCCTTGTACATGATAAGGTCCTGTATTATAGTTAATCGACCTCCATGGACAAATAGAGTCTTCCTTGAAAGGTTAGCAGATACTTTGGAGACATTTGAAACCCAAGGATGGAATGAGGCAAACTTATTAAAGGGGGACTCTGGAGAAGTAAATGAGTCGTTTTAGCTACGTTATCCCGTTTTGAATTATTGCAGAAGAAAATCAGCCATGGATAATCTCCCCTTTATAAAACAAGTTCAACTTGGAAGGACAATTAACTCCTTCAGGACATTTTCAATAAAGCCTAGGTTGGAGGACGTAGCAGTAATTGCATTTTCTGCATAAGGAATAATAAAAAAAAACCTTCGCTCTTTGAAATGCTTCTGTTGAAAATGTTTATTAGACACATTGTTATACCATATTTAGGAATACCGTATTTGTCATGTCAGGGTCATCATCCTAAACAGATATTCATTGCTGGTATTTATAGGAAGTTGCCTTTTCAAACAAACCCCTTATACTGTCTTTTGTTGCCATTTGTTTCTTTCCTAAAATGTTGAAATACAGGAGGAAAAATCCAGTAAACTGATTTTTTTTTTTTTTTTTGAAAGAGAGAAGGCACAAGTAAGCAAGGGGCAGAGAGAGAGAGAGAATCATTCCCAGGAGGGGGAGAGAGAGAGAGAGAGAGAGCTCATGTCTACCCAAAGCAGGACTTGAGCTCACCCAATGTGGGGCTCAAACCCGCGAACTGTGAGATCGCGACCTGAGCTGACGTCAGATGCTCAATGATTGAGCCACCCAGTCACCCCCGTACGTTGATTCGAAGTCATCGTCCTCACAGCTGTCTCACTGGGGCACCGCATCCTGGCTTATTTATTCAATTAGCTGGGCTAGAACTGACTGGGGAGTAGACTCCGGGATGGTCCCCGTTAGGCAAAGAAGGCAGAGGCTGAACCGTCTGTGGGAACAAGCTCGTGTCTGGGCTGCTGTCCTGTATCTTTATGAAACACGGATGCCAATCCTTCCTGCTGGTCCACATGTAGGGCACGAGTGATTCTCCAGCAGAACTCTTTCTTTGCTCTTTGACAAAACAAATTATTAAAACATTTAAGATTTGAAAGCACTTTCAGGATTAGTGATTGGCCACAAATCCTATTTAAGACCAATCTCTTTGATATTATCATTGTGGGGGCGATAACTTAGAAGCTGGCAAGAAGAAGTCTCTCCTGTTAATGATTCATCGTGGTTAATGGTTTACACAGTCATTACGTAGCTTTACATGTGTGAGGCTGAAAGACATTGAATAAGTCTATCACTCTGGAACAGTCTGAAACTATTGCCGTGACAATAAATTGTATTAGCTGGCTCTGTACTGTTTCCACCTGAGGCACTCCGTACTGTGAGTCCTCAAATGTTGACTGACACAGTTTCATGACCAAGTTCTAACTTCTGAAAACAATAGCTCACCCTGCTATTTATTAACCGGTTAAATATTTTAAGCAAACTCTACCGCCTGCATTTAGGAGAAAATAAGCCCTAGGAATTATGCTTAATTCTAGCGTGACGTAGGAGGAAAGAGCCATTGTCCGCCCAGGCTTGTTCAAGCACAAGGGCAATGGGAGCAGAATTCTGCTGTCCCCGGAATCCTCATTTATGTGGCAACGAGGTGACCCTCACAAGACACCCTCGGAGTGTCAAGCCCGAGCTCACCAGCTCTCGGCCCAGCAACTGAGACAACGCAGCAGAATGCAGTCCTCAAGAAGCCAGCCTGGGCCGCACCTGAAAACCACACCGTTGGTCCCAATTTGCTTACCTTTGCTATATATTTTACAGAGTGACTTTCACAATGTCTTATTTTATGATACCCTCTTAGGGACATATTCAAACCATTGCCTGGAAATGAAAAAGAACACTGACCACATGCTTGCAAGACCCACAGTCTGTGTGCTCTGGTATATTATTTAAACTGCTCAAGTGACAAAATGGAAGGGTACAGACCAAAATTCATTCCTCGTCAGGGAGTCTGAATGGTAGTATCCAGATATGGAGCTCAAGCAGGAAGAAGGCACTTTGTCAACCTATGACCACCTCCGTGAGAATGTTGTTACCTATTCTCATTTCCTGAGAAGTCCCCGCAGACATGCACTACAACAGTGTCGCAGACTAATTTTGTAGCAGGTACTGCATCCATATTATTTCCTAGCTAGGTTCCAGTAAAACAAATGTTTGAGAAACATTTACAGAGTTCTCCAGAAAAGAACATTAAATGCTGATCATCTTTTACAGTTTTTTTTTTTTACAGTTTATTTAGAGAGACAGCAAGCAGGGGAGGGGCAGAGAGGGAACCCCAACGGGGCTCCACATGGTCAACGCAGAGCCCCACGTGGGCCTTGAACTCACGAACTGCAAGATCATGACCTGAGCTGAGATCAAGAGTCAGATGCTTTAGACACCCAGGCTCCCCAATGCTGACCATCTTGTTGGGGCTTAGAAATCTGGTGTCACCTTGAAATGCTACACTGCACTCTGATCTTCAATCGAAAAGAAGTAATCCTATTTCATTGATCTCATGTTAGTGATAGGGCTTAAGAAGTTTAGTCTTGGAGGTGAGGATTTTTATTTTATTTT